ACGACGGGACGCACGGGACCTTCGTACCAAGTCTGGGGCCGGTTTACCCGATATTCGTCAAGAAACGGATCGAATCGATCCGTCTCGCACCTCCTCGACCCTCCTCGAGTCAGCGCGCGTCGTCCGGCTCCGGCCGCTGGTTTCGCGGACGTGTCGGCGATCTTGAGATTCCCCTGTCTGGCCCAAGGCGTTTCGCTGCGTGGGATCAAGATCGCGAGAAAACACGACCGTCTTCGGCGAATCCAGCCAGCGATTCTGCTTAATCGGATCTGCAACTGTGGTGGATCATTCTACAGGGAATTCTTTCTCGTTTAACCCCTTGCAACATCGAGTCAGACACGTGACAACGATTTCAAACTGAATTTAGGTGAACATGTATACATATTATTCGTTTCGTTCGAGTGAAATACTGTTCCGCTGGTATTAACATTTAAGGTTTGGAATAAATGTAACCACTTGCCGTGGGAATAGATATTCCTTTGGTATTCGGAAAAATATCAACGAGAAAGTAATTCTTGAGAGTGAAGTAAAAGAAATCGTATGGCAAGGGGTTAACTCTCGTGGTAGATTCTTCGAAATTTTCTAGTTATCTGGGAATATTTCAGGGATATCTCAATATCCAGGGACCCACGAATCCGTGCCAGGAACGGCGTCGGTCTTCGCGTGACTCGTGATATTCTAATAGATAATAGGTAGCTGGCCAGCAATTTCATTTCGCGTGCAGCTGACGAGAGCCCCTCCCCCTCTTTCAGTCATCTTGCTTCACGGGGGATGAGGAAATTTCATTTCTTGAAACGTCCCCTTTCGAGGGACCATCACCGATACGAAATTCCCCGGATATTATACCGATCTGTGGTCAGGCCAGCCGTGAACAGAAAGAGAGACCAGCGGAGAGGACTCGCGAGTAGCAATCGATTGAAAGCGAAATGAAAAATTCCACGGGTGGGGGGAGGGGGGCAAAAGACAGGGCAGAAATGGAGCTTCTTCGGAGCTCGACCAGAAACACAGTCCGAGAGGAGCTTTTCCCGTTACGCGCCTCTCCTCTCCTAAGCCGATTTCGAGCTGCCGGGCAGAGGCCGGGTACCGCTAGCTTCCCAGAAATCGACGCTCGATAATGCCTCTCGATACGGATGAAGCAATCTCTCCTACTGTTTTGCCGCGTGATGCGAGAAGGGAAAAAAACCCCCCCCCCCCCCCTCGCCTCTTCATCGTGACAGGGAGGGGGGAGGGAGGAATCGAGCAGGTCGCGTGGTGGGGAGAAGTCGCACATATAGCCAACACCAGCTAGCCTCATGTTTTATTCATCGATTTAAAACAAATTCGAGAGGTGTGCTCCTCTGTCGCGGCGCTTCCTCATCGTCACACCCGATAACGCGATCGTGTGTCTCTCCCTCTCTATCTCCCGAAGCTTTCAAGGGCTTACCTCCCTTGTTCAGGGTCGTGACAAGATTTTTCGTCTGTAATGACGTTTCTGACTCTGGTCTCGTAGCACAGCCATTACTGATTAGTAGATTGTACCGACACTTATAGCAAATTTTTAAATTCAAAATTCGGTAAAATTAAGATTTTAGTAAAACTTAATGATATTTCTATGTTATAAAGAAATCAAATTTCTGTCTGATTTTCATGTTTAGAAATTAATATCTAAAATTCTGATTAGTGGCACTTGAACTCACAATAGCACAGCCCTAACCCACCTATTCCGTGGGATGTGTGTCTTTGGGGGATGCTTGAACGATGTATACGAATCAAAGTGAAGCTTTCCTCTTTCTTGAGATACTTCAAGAATATTGTTTCTTATTTTTGTTTTTCTCTGAACGGTGTCACAAGGTACTTGAGAATGTTACACGGTTGACAGGGGAGACCAGAATGATTCATCAATCGTCGAATAACATTTTGGAATCTGAGAGATTGTTTGGTAGTCCGATCCAAACAATGTTATCGACGACAACGCGAAAATGGGATCGAGAAATTTTACTATACCTGAAATAATTACGCGTCTGACTTAAATTCGATTCTACTGAACTGACCTACTATGAACGGCCGCGTTCTATGTTGACGCACGACGACCCGGTGTTTTCCAAGCTGCTAGAACCCGTGGTATGTACGTGCACAAACGTTCGTATCAAGATATTGCGTCTTTGCAATACTGATTTTGGTCGTTCGGAATTTCCTGGATGACTTCGTGAACCCATTGCCCAGTCCATTTTACGATTCATGTACGTTGTCCACTTATTTAATACGAACATTTATTAACACGTTTGTTATTAATAATTTTGTTTCAAGTAGTATTGAGGCTGTACGAAATGTGTCTATATATATGTAGATTCTCGAATTCAGAGACCATTGTAACAACGAACTGGCGTTTGCAATAATTTTCAGCCGATCGATTCAGCTGACTGTCGATGGAACCCGATAGCTTCGCTCATTGCGAATAACAAATTTTTTTAGAATCTCTGACGTCTATAATTTTCCGTTGAATCGACAGGACCCGAGTTTCCTATTCGACGACACTGTAACGTCGCTGGTCACTACCGTAATTTCTATCAGCATTTATCACGAGTCGGTGACAATTGTTTTGAAATGATAATAACTTCTCGATCCCTGTTTCCCACATCCCCAGCTACGTTTCTCCCATTTATTCTACAGGTATAGTAAACGCGTCGCGAACCGCCATTCACAGTTTTTTCAATCTCAATTCCGTCCGAGTTGCGTCACGCAAAAAGACGTCAGTGAAAACATTCGTTTTTCCTCTTTCTTTTCGTTTTTTTTTTTTTTCATTTTTATCGTCGCATTCGCGCATCGATCAGCCTGGAAGTGGTTGTCACCGGGTTGCATAACTCCCATTCAGCATCCTGCGGAAGGAAATTTCAGATTCAACACCGGATCGATTTTCTCGATCCCCGCGTAGTAGAAATGTTACACCGATGACGCTCGAAAAACTTGCGGACGCGCACACCGAGTGTCCAATCGTGGGTATCGCGTTACGGAAAAAAAAAAAACAGAACCAAAACTTTTCGACCTCGCTGTCCGCTAGAGTTTCGTCATACGTCGAAACCTTCGGATCGCCTATCGTTTACATACGATCCTTTGACCGAGTAATCGGCGCGCACAGAATTTCCATCGATCTTAAACAGCCTCGTTAAGGATCGATTCAAATTCCCCACCGCGTGGAATAATCGAACGAAGAAAGGATTAACACGACAGAAGGCAAAAGCTTACACGCACCAGTTTTCCAGTCGCCCGAAATTCCATCGTAAAAGGCGAGCTTGATCGTTCTCGCCGTTGGTTTTTCTCGCCCCCGTCACCTCCGTCACCCGGATGGCCCTAAATGGCCCCCTGTCAAGAGAAGACAACCTGGCTGTGCGCGTCCGTGGTACGGGACGGGGGCACACCGTGGGCCGTGTGTCTGGGCCCCGTGAAAAACGAAACGGTTTTCGGTAGCCGGCGAGGGCCGCGACCGCCAGAAGGGCCCATCCTCTCCTCTGTACCAGTGGGCCCGATGGTGTGGGTAGTTGCGTACCCGAAACGATAAACGTCAAGTACATCGAAAATAAAGGCGGAACGAGCAGCCAGGCGTCTAGATGGGAGCGCAGCCGGTCTCACGATGTGCTCGTTCGACTGGTGGCACACACCACCTTGCTGCCAGAAAACCCGATGGCACCTTAAGGAGAGAAGTCAAGGGCAAGAAGCGTCCCTTCGTTACCCAGTCTGGCCCAGCTTGGGCCCTACTTGGGACCCCACTACTACACACACTCTCTTTCTCTCTTTTTCTCATTCAATCTCTCTCTTTCTCCCTATCTCTCTGCCGAGAGAGCCCCGCGTCCACCCCCTCCTCCCCGTCCACCTCTTCTCACCGTATCTCTTGTAGATATCCCCTGCTCCTCCAGCCCCTTCACCTTTCTGGTACTGCCCCCTCCCTGTCCCCTCCGCACCTTCTATCATCCCTACGTCCTCTCCCTCCACCTCTTACCAGCCCTTCTTCTTCTGGCTCTCCTGTTCCACACACGAACGCCCGGGAGCCGGAGAGAAGCTGGCTCTCTCGGTGCTTTCTTGAAATTCATCTCTCTACCAGCAGAGTAGCAGCACCAGCACCACCAGCACCACCAACAGCACCACCAGCACCACCAACAGCACCACGAACGGGCCGAACAAGCAGTAACCACCAGCAACACACCGGGTTGTGTATACACTTACGACAGAGAGCACGACAGAGAGACCAACCTCCCTCCCTCGTCTGTCCCCTTCGGTCTCAACACGAATCCATATGTATGGGGTTGAGGCGCACAGGCGTCGCAAATGTGCTGACTACATTACCCAGCCCCGCTATATAAGATAGCCGGCCAACCATCCTATCCCCACAGACCGAGCCAGATCGGCAGACCGTTCACAGACGGGACCAACCACACAACCGATCGAACCGATCCACAAGACCACGACACCCATCATTTTACACACGTTCTACACGGCACATCAGCGACCACCCGAGAAGGTCTAGGGTTTTATATTATACCACGGTCCTCCACGATTCTCATCACTAAGGTGTGCAACAACACTGCTCCTATCGACCACGACGACAACACGTCGGATTGCTGTTCGGTTACACGACCGAGAAGGAGAAAGTGATACATCGTATTTTCGGTTTCTCACGCGGCTTTTCGTGTCAGTTTCACGGTTCACCGAAGGGTCTTCCGTTTCGGGACCGATCGATTTTTCGTAACAACGGTCCAGATTCGATCACGATCCTTTCTCGATACCGTTTCCATCGCGTGCCATCAGATTTCCGGGCACACTAAAGAGAGAGAAAGACACGCACACACACACATTGAACAGCCGACCGAGATTTCCTCGTGACACCAGGGTACCGTAGGTCGGGGTATCACTGCTACTTTAAAGGCGTCCAATCCAACAGGCCCTACTCTCTTTCTCCTTCTTTCTCTCTCTTTCTCTCGGAACGTTGTGAGTGTATATAACGAGGAAGAACAACGACAACGCTCAAGATGATCCCTTTGACAGCCACCACGTGCTTTCTGATCGCTGTCACGTTCGTGGCGCTCGCCGTGATCCTCCTGGATCACCTGAGATCGAAGAAAACATCGAAGGAAATTATATTAGACGGTGAAAAGGACAGTCTGCCGGAACCACCTGGACCGAAACCATGGCCAATTCTAGGATCCCTTCACATCCTTGGACGCTACGACGTGCCCTACAAAGCTTTCGCCGACCTTGTCCGGGACTTCGACTGTCAGGTGATCAAGCTCCGAATGGGATCCACACCGTGCGCGGTCGTCAACGGATTGGAGAACATCAGGGAAGTGCTGACCACCAAGGGACATCACTTCGATTCACGGCCGAACTTCGTCAGATATCACCTGCTCTTCGGCGGAAACAAGGAAAATTGTAAGCAACCATATTCTCTATTATACAATGTTTAATCATACAGCTACGATTTCAACGAGAAGAATCGTTCGATTCGTAATTCGACATATTTTTTCTACGATCTCTAAGGACCTACATGTCCGTTGAAATAGTAGCTCGATTAACACAGTAGTTATAAAGCATTATTTTTTAACGACCCGATTTAATTGGATATTCCCAGTCGCGACAGCTCGTTTCACCGTATCAAATGTCTCCTCGATGTTCAGTTTTTAATTATTCAAATCGTCCAACGGTTACGTAACACATCGTGCAGAACGAATTCCAATGGTCGTGTGGTCTACGAATCTTAACACGCGAACATAAGCTACGATATAGTATTCCTCCGATACCTTGTCGAGTCTTCGTGTTCTTTCTTCGGGGCAGGGAGAATCGGGTGTTATCCGAACTTTTTTTAAAAACGGTTCGATCGGGCGGCCTGTGAGTCAGTGTGAAAATTGAAATTCGTCGACACCTCGTTCATGGCTACTGCTGCTGCTTCTGCTGCTACTGCTGCTGAAAACTCGTTCCCCATGCTAACGACCTTGCCGTCGTCGTACGCGACACGTGAGCGCCAGCCACAGTCCAGGCCAGGCCGCGTTTATTTTTCCCGTGGCTCGTGTTTTCGTACGTCCAGGCCCGGCCGAAACGCTCGTGTTAAGGTCAACGTCAAAGCGGTACCAAGTGCAGCCCGGAAAGGTCACGGTACCACTTTCACGCGTTCCATGCCTCACCTGGCCGCCTCCGACAAACAGGATCAAGGCTGATCCACCGGAGGCGATTCCGACACTCTCGAGCCAACGCCAGTTTCTTTCTCTCTCTGTTTCCCTTCCTTAACCGTATATCCAGCAATTTCACGATTAGATCTAATACCTCCAGAAAATCCAAAATAAAATATTCCATTTTTCGCTTGTTAAAAATTAGAAAATCCAAAATACAATATTCCGTTTTTCGCCTGTTGAAAATTAGAAAATCCAAAATTGAATATTCCTTTTCCCTTGTTAACAATTAGAAAATCCACAGTAGAATATTCAGATTTCGCTTGTTAAAAATTAGAAAATACAAAACAGAACATTCCGTTTTCGCTTGTTAAAAAAATTGGACTAACCAAAATAGAATATTCCCTTTTGGAAAATTCCCTTGAATTCCGTTAAATCTCCGCAGACACGAAAATTCCTGGATTCGTTGCACGCGACACGGTTGCCCAGGGGCGATTAGTATCCTGTACCAAGGGGCGGGGGTGGGGGGCACGAGAAACCAGGTCACTTCCTGTTCTGGGGTCCGTTCCGCCGCTTCGATTTCAAATCGAGCCGAAGGGGGCCTCCGCGCGGCGATGAATCGATTTTCTGCCGAGTACGCGGGATCGGCATCCGCAGGCTTGCATTTCCGCGTGGCCGCGTCCTCCGATCAGGTGAAAAGAGAAAGATAGAGAGTCCAAACCGGGAAGAACGGAAAGGGAGAGGAGAAGAACACCGGCGAGCGAACGTGCGTCGACGAATTTTTCCTTTTCTTTTCTTTTCTTTTCTTTCTTTTTTTTTTTTCTTTTTCGCCTGACAACCAGCGTTTCGAAATGCATTTCGTGATCGCGTCACGGAATGCGTGCTCGAAGGTCAAGTTTAACGCGTCAATACACATATACCTATACATATATATTTATTCGTTTCCTTCGCCTTCAAAGAGGCTCAATGGAAATCGTTCTGTTTTACAATCGATCCTCTCCGTTATTGTCTGATCTCCGTAACTGCGCCGTCCGTTAACTGTTTTCCTTAAAAAAAAAAAAAAGAACACCACGATCGTCCTGTTTCGCATGTGTCACGGTGATTTCGTAGAGGAAAAACCTTCGCATAGTACCCTCACGAGCAACCTCGGCTTCCGCTAGGGGGAAAAAGTAACGTAGAAGTAGGGCCTTCTATCACTCGGTAAATTTATTTCAAGTATTGAAATAAATGTTGAACTGAATGATCATTTGGCATAAATTTCTATAATGCCCAATACCAAATGGTAAGAAGCCGTTTCCCTACGCCACTTTTTTCCCTAGTGGAAGCTGAGTTTGCTCGTGGGCGTACATATATAAGTTACAATTATATTAATTTCACTTTTCGAGTACGATGGATACTCTGGCTCCAGTGACTATAACGATCCTCTTTCTCCATATTATAGCTCTTGCTTTCTGCAACTGGTCCGACGTACAAAAAGGCCGCAGGGAGATGTTACGCGCCCATACGTTCCCGCGCGCGTTCTCCGCCCGTTACAACGAGCTGAACAAAATCATCGGCGCCGAGATGGACAATCTAGTCGGCTATCTGGACTCCATGGCTGGCAAGAGCGTGCACGTGAAACCGTTGATACTGCACAGCTGCGCGAACATATTCATCACTTACCTGTGCTCGAAGAAGTTCCATCTGGAGCACGCTGGTTTCCGTAACATGGTCGAGAACTTCGACAAGGTGTTCTACGAGGTGAACCAGGGCTACGCGGCTGACTTTTTGCCGTTTCTGATGCCCCTTCATCAGCGTAACATCGCCAGAATGGCGCACTGGAGCCACGAGATCCGCAAGTTCATCCTCGACAATATCATCAACGAAAGGGTGGACAGCTGGAACGGTCTTGTGATGCCTGAACGGGATTATCTCGATTGTCTGGTGAATCACGTGAAGACAGACGCTGAACCGTACATGTCCTGGAACACAGCGTTGTTCGTCATCGAAGACATCATCGGCGGGCATTCGGCTATTGGTAATCTTCTGGTGAAGGTTCTTGGATTCATCGCTACTCGGCCAGACGTGCAGAGGATGGCTCACGAGGAGATCGATTCTCTAAAAATCGCTGGTAACTACGTGGGACTGGAGAACAGAGGATCGTTGCCCTATGTCGAGGCAATCATTCTGGAAAGTATCAGAGTAATCGCCAGCCCTATCGTTCCTCACGTCGCCAATCAGGACAGTTCCATCGCTGGTAAGCATCGCCTCTTTTCACTAAAAACTACAAAGACCACGTAACGTTTCTAGGGCGCTTCTAACACCTCCCGAAATCGTTTCTTCAGGTTACAGAATCAAAAAGGACACGTTCATCTTCCTGAACAATTACGAACTGAACATGTCCACGGAACTGTGGACCTCGCCGGAGGAATTCATGCCGGACCGATTCGTGCAAAACGGAAGACTCCTAAAACCGGAACACTTCCTTCCGTTCGGCGGTGGAAGAAGATCCTGCATGGGCTACAAGCTTGTACAATACGTGACCTTCGCGGTGCTGGCCACGTTGCTGAAGAACTACAAGATCGTGCCCATGGAGAAAGAGAATTACACGATACCAATCGGAAATCTGGCGTTACCGGAAAGAACGTACAGCGTGCGATTCGAGAGACGATAGGGGACGGCCGAGAACAGAAATCGGGTCGTGTGTACGTTGGCCACGAGGAACCATGGGCCGACTCTTCGAACTGCTTAATTTTCACGATGTTTCGAGAAACTTCGAGGTCCACGAACGTGGGGAGCAACGAAGGATCAGCCGAAGAGAGGCTCCGACGTGTTTTTGTATCTGTATAGACGAAGCTTTAGGGAGGATCGAGTGCCAGCGGCGCCGCAACTCGGATGGACTCGATCCTCGTTGGGAACGAAAGCTTTACTGACATTACTAGGTGTTTAAGATAGCAAATTATAATTTTGATCGTCCTACGAGGCGAGTATCGCCTAACCTCGAGAAAATGAAGGAAAACAAAGAAAAAACGAATCTAAGACGATCAGCCACACAATATCAGGAGAGAAGACTTGGACTGATAATGAAGAGGACTAACCGCAACAAGAAATGCTGCCGTTCCTAGCGAGCACTTTAGGTAAACATCCCGGGACTATGCCGAATCGCTAATCTTTCTCTCTTTTTCTCTCTCTTTCTCTCTCCTCTTTCCCGCGGAAGATCGAGTTGCCAAGGCGTGTTTTTCTGAGAAAAGCTCGCGGCGATGGGTACGTTTCTGCTTGCTTGCTCCCGTAACTGTGTTTCGTACGCGAGAACTTCGGGGAACGGGATCATAATCCAGCGACGAAAGCAGACGGAAGTACGGGATCGCGACGGGCAACATCGTTATGCGTATCTGGACCCCAGAGGTGTATTAAGTCCACTTTTCAAGACAATTACATTTTTCATGTTTACTTTATCAAATACTTCACTCTTTCCGATGGTCAAAATTATTTCGTTCGTCCATGTTTTTAATATAGATACACAATAATCTAAAAACAGAGTCAGGCAGAATTTTATTCGTATAATACACAGTAAAAAGTAGCAGTATCTAAGTGTGTCGTTCTGAGCTTTAAACAGTCAATGGGATTAAATAATTGTTCGACAAATGTCGATTCATTCGTGATGAAGTATTATTTCATTATAAAAATTGACATTTCCACGTTTAAACAATTAAAAATGACGAAATACTTTTTTATCTTTCATTCGTTATTCCAAACTTTTTATCTAAATAATGAGTTTGCCCATCTCTCTCTAAAAATGATATTAAGTTCATATTCTTAAAATAGTGTAAATTCCAACATACAATGGAATTAATGCAAAATTCACCATATCTAGATATCGTAAATCCATTGAATGAATGTAACAATTGTTTACAAGGTTTTCGCACCCTTGATTTGCTCTCCTCGAAAGTTAGGAAAGTATGTCTTAATACACTTTAGGGTCCAGATATGTTATAATGTACATTCGGCTCTTGAGAGTGGATTCGTACGGGAATATTCTGTGTCACGCGAAAGCTAGCATAGGATGAGTAGATCGTATTCCTTCGTGATCGATCTGTCGACTCGGTTTTTTTGATACCCACTTTCGATCACGCTCGTTCCACGATCGATTTCAAAGGAATACGATGAATCGACAGCTCCCCACCGTCGATGATTCACGGCCCACATCGAGATCCACGGATCAGAAATCGCCGAGCATCGCGAATCCACTGTTGACCCAGCGATCACGTTCCGACTATCGTCCGATAACCGCTCGAAAGACGAGACGCGAGAACGTGAGCGGCATAAACCCCGGGGGCAAATCCGCGACAATTTCATGCGCGCGTTTTTTTTTTTTTTTATGTTTCAATCGCGAATTTATTAAGGGTACGAGATAGACGTAGAAATATGGGCTGCGCATCTCCCTGAAACGGACATTCCGAGTTTAGAAAGAGGTACAGTAATGTCTCGATGAGTGCGACGTACTCGAGGCCACTTCGAAGCAATCATTGTGGAAACGTTTTCAGCCCCTTATGAATTTGTTGCTAAGCTTCTGTTTACTCTATTTTGGTTAACTTCAGAGGGGCATCCCTCAGTGGTGAGAATAACGTCGTTGCTCGTGTCGCATTCATTGATGAATCACTGCTTTCGGATGACTTGGCATCTCTTTTTAACGCTAGAACTACCGACAATAAACGCATATTTGCTTCGATCGGTGGATAAACGTGAAAAACTTTTGAAAATTTAGAAATTTACCCATTTCTTCACTTTCATATCGTAATAAAAGGTACAAAAGATCTGAGAAAATGTATTGTCATAACATTTTAATCGTCGTTGTAACAGTATATTGACAAGTCATTTTGACTTGCTTGGTCGTTCTAGTGTTAAATATAAGTAGTGGGGGGGGGGTGAGGTTCTGGGAATCTGCGTTTTTGAATGGTTAACTCGAGTATATTAAAAAGAAATAGCAAGTCCTCCGAAGGTAACCAGTCTTTTTCTAGAGTTGGGCCGCCGGCCCAGACGCGCAGTCTATTTTTTTATGTCTATGGAGAGTACACGCATGCTACGTCGTCCCTCCAAGAGGGAACAGAGGTGGTTAAATGTACAGATAATCTAAATCGTTCGCGGTATTCCGAATACTCGAGCAGCAGCATCGTCGTCGCTGTTGATCGAATATTGATCCGACACTCATTTTGTTCGCACATTCCCTTGAATGCACGAATGTGTGTGTGTGTGTGTGTGTGTGTGTGTGTGTGTGTATATATATATATTTGTTTATAGAACCATGACGAGTTGAGTTTCTTTCTTGTTGTCCATATGGGTTGGGTGTTCGTTCTTTACTTTTTAATTTTCTTCGTGTATGTTTTAAGAGAGAAAAAAAAAACAAAGACCAAAGGGTTGATCGAATTTCGTTGGATCGAATTATAGTTGTGTATATTGAAATTAACTCGTCAAGGTTTTCAAGGGAATCGCGGTCATCCCACGGGGGAGACCAGCCACGAGATTACAAATAGGTTGGATCGATGTTCGACCAATTTTATCTATCGTTTCGCTAGAGAAAGTTTTAACATGAACGTCGCACCGTAGCGTACAACGTAATAATTTGTTAACCTCGTTTCTCGATGCCGCCCTCGACAACGTTCCTTTCGCTCGGATTTTCCTTAACCCTTTCCCTCGAAACATTCCATTTGCTCCGTTTTTAATAGCCCTTTCATTTAGAGTTGTTTAACAATAGAAAGATCACAATGTTGTAAGGGATAGGAAAATGATTGGGATCGAACGTGTTCGAGCGAAACGAGAAATGAATATTTACTGTAATATCAATTATTACACGACTGAACGATCTCTTTCAAAGAGATACACCGTCTTTTCGCGGGCCAACCTCGTGAAATAATAATTTATTTCAGCTATCGAGCAACGTTTCTTATTATGTTATTATTATATTATATTATATTATATTATTATTATATTATATTATTATTATCGCTTGCTACTATTATCATCACTATTATCAGTAGATAGATGTATCATCCCCACATTTTATCATCACGTTCTCCATCCCCCTATTTCATGCTTCCACGTCCGCACGTTATTTTATGTTTGTTATTTAATTATCGTGATTGTTACGACATTTGTTAATTTATTATTTAAGATTTTAATAATAAAAGTGAACATTGAAATTTATTGTTTATCGGTTTCTGAAGACGACCACAGTTGATCACTTTCCTTTTTCTATTCTTTTGCCGAACTACTTAGTTCGTTTCTTTCGAAATGAAAATTTTATTTCCAAGAACAGAAAAAACGGTGAAAGTGTCGATCTACGCAAATATTGTCAGTCGAACGCGAGCAAGGATTAGCAACTGTTGGTCTCTTATCGTACGATCGCCCTGTTATCGAATAAATCCTATTTGTTTAATTTTTATTTATCAAATCTTGTTGCCAGAGGTTAGTGTATCTGCTGTCTAAATAAATAGAAACAGCTGGTTAATTGTACCAGTACTGACATTAAATTAACTCGACATTCACTATCATTAATCATTTATTCGTACATTGTAAAATATTACAAAACAGAGTATGACGGAAGTGTTACTGTACATTTTATTAATATGTATTACGAAAATCTTCCCTCTCAATTGACGTAATAATTGTAACACATTATTACTTTACCAATGATTAAGATATAGTCCCTAAATTATACTATGTATGAACACAGATGGTAGATAACAATTGCACCATGAAGATTATTTACACACGGCAATACCTTTATAAAGAGAGACACACTTGGAATTATTCAATCGATTCTCGACCAGTTCGAATCTGACTTCAAATATCTCTTTCAATCCTCACAACTATCTATTGTTTTTCAGGGTCGAGTACCAGCCCTGAATCGTCAAGAAAAATCAAGAAAAGTCAGTCATAAATACTCTTCAACTTCACCTACGTTCTCATCGTCATCCACGTAACAACTTCGAACGGTACACGAAAATCTCTTCCTCCTCCTACTTCGAACATCCACGAACAGTATTTGCAAATATTTCTTTCTTTTCATTTTACAGGATGATATAACTGTCAATCATATAACTGTACAAGAATCGCGTCCTATACACCCGCGGAAACGTCTTTGAGAACCACCATCCTCTTCGCCTCCGGCGAATCAGGACTGTCCTTCTTCCTGAACATCTCCTCGATCTCCATCAAGGTCTTTCCCTTCGTCTCCGGCAAGAAGAATTGCACGAACAGTGTCCCGACGAAAGACATCACCGTGAAGAATATAAATACACCGTGTGTGCCCATCGATGTCTCCATATCAGGGTAAATCTTCACCGTGATCGAGCTGAATATATATCCCACGCACGTGGTCACTCCTGTTAATACCTCTTTCACCTTCGTAGGATAAATTTCCCCCACCATCGCGAACGGGACCACCAGGAAGCCCAGAGTGCTGGCGAAGATGTACATAAGCACGCAGATCACAGGAATCAGTCCCCCGTCTTCAATGACATATCCTTTGTCCGCCAACACCAGATAAACAGACAGTATACCCATGAAAATCGTCATTCCAATACCAGAAACGATCGATGGAATCCGTCTACCGAATCGTCCAGACACCGCAGCGACCAATAGACTGCCGATCAATCTGGTCAATCCTATTAAAACCGCCCCTAAATAAGGGTCCATGGTGATCCCCGAGCTCTCGATGATGTCGACAGCGTAGTAAACTACCACGAAGATACCACAGAACTGCTGAAAGAAAAAGTATGTCAGCATAATCGCGAACGGCACGATCGCGTTCCTCTTCAGCAGGTGTCTCATCAGGTTCTGGTTCTTCTTCTGCGGGCGTTGCCGCAGTTCTTGCAGTAGGTCCGACGAGGGAGGCGTATTTTTTGGAATGCCGCGGAATCTCTGCAGGGTCTCGAGCGCCTCGTCTAGACGACCTCGGTCCCACAACCAGATCGGGGTTTCTGGGACGACGGCCAAGGTCACCGCTCCCGAGACCAGGGGAAACAGGGCGCACATCAGAGCTACCAGTCGCCAGTTGTCCTTTGGATGTGAAAAATCGTAAGTAGATACGAGCATTTAAACCGTGATTCTCGCCGTTTCCCGTGTTTCTCGATTAGTATCGTGTTACACTGTCGTTTCGAATTCGTTTTGTTTTCGGTGGCGATTGCTAAGCTTTAAATGGCTGGTATGTTGAAACAATTAAAATTTAATTTAATAGTGGTGCGTTTGAATTTGAAATAACAATTGGTTAGGATCGTTTTTCTCCCCTCTACTAACCCCCAATAGACCATCAATTTTTGGTGAAATTCGTCGACCATTCCCGATCGAAAAATCTTTCCTATTCAGATTTTTCATATTTCATATAATTCCTCTAATTCGAAAGTAACGACACTTCGAGAATTTTCTAAAATACGTTAAATTCCAAATTTGTGAAATACAATATTTTCCAAACGGTATCCAGCCATTTAAAACCATGAAATCGGTGGTGTCATTTCTATTTATAATCGACAATCACGGGGTTTCCGTTTCCCAGATTTTTTTCATTCATCTGCACGCTCACCTCGAACAGGTAACCGAAAATGTAAACAATCAGAACACCGATGCCGACCGACACGCTAGTCCAGGTAACCATCGTGGCCCGCCACAATGGTGAGGCGACCTCCGCGCAGTAAACAGTTGCCGGCACCGCGGCGGAACCGGTCGCGATTCCGGATATTATTCTGCCGACGAGGATCTGCTCGTATGTGGTGGAGAAGTGTATGACCATCCAGCCGACGAAGGAGAGGACCGACGTTATCAGGAGGCTCAGTTTCCTTCCGCGTCTCATGGTGTAACTCGAGAGGATACAGCCGAACGGAATTCCCAGCGCAGTCACCGTCGCTGTGAATTACAAATTGCAAGTGTTAGTTACAGATTTCAACGGGACCTTGGTCGAACGTAAGTATTTTGACATTTGACGCTGGTTCCGAACGGGCGTCGACCGAGATGAAACGTTTAAGTGGGGAAAACGAGGGAGGGATGAGGGTTAATTTGGCTCTCGTTGTCAAATTGACACAGTGGTAAAAAGAAATCATATATATGAAGAAATAAATTAAAAGTGAACGTCAAGAATAACAGAATTTCTTAGGAGAAAAATGTGCCAACTTGACACCAGGATTAATCGTTCGTTCTCGGTGAATGACAATAAAAACATCGATATCTTGGTGTATATGTTACAGTAAAAGCGTGAAGTTTAGTACATTTAAACATTTACTAGTCAGTGTATGCATTTAGGAACCGTTTTAGTAGAAGTATGAACCGAATATTAGAATGTACACTATTTCTAGTAAATGTATTCATTTACTAGATAATATATACGTTTCCTAGAGCACATTAGTAAAAGCATAGTGTCGAAAGTATAATTTTTTAAAATATATTTAATGAACAAAACTGAAAACATAACACTTTATTTGATAATTTAGGCATCTTTTTTTTTTTTTTTTAAATTCGGTATTTATTTCATAGATATAAAAACATAGGTTTCGTTAGACTCGTCATTTACATTGACTAGGAAATGTGTACATTTACTGAATTAACGATGTTACTACCGTCACGTCCAGGCATTCTGTGCATCTGCAATACAGAATCGAGGAAACGTTCAGACTCGGAAAGATATTGGAAGATATTGTAGGTAATAATTAGACAGGTGATTTTATTGTCTTTTCTATTGCTAGAAAATGGACAAACAATATGTATACATCGGATGTCAATCCATAGTTTGAAACGAAAGATTACACTGACCTATCCAGTTTCCTTGAGCTCTGCCCACTTGCACGTCGCTTGTGGGTGCCATTAGCGGTCCCAGTACCACGGCACTGTAACCGAAAGCCATGGACGGGCCCAGAACAGAGGAACTCGCGCACAGAGACATGATTATCTGGAAAGAAGTAATTATTAATTCTTTCGTATCGATTTGGTACGTTTGAATCATAATTTCGATTGTTCATTTAACATTTCTATTGCCTCATTGTTTTTCATCGTTTCGTTTCGTATTAAAATAAAATTAAAACGTAATATCACCAGACAAATGTTTCCTATAGAAAGTATTACATCAGATTACCGACTGTTATTATCGTCGGAGTTACTTAACGCGATAAAATCATCCATAATTTCCTAATTCACCGATAACCAGGCGAAGGTTCACCGACAATGTGGCATAAATCGTTTTCTACTGTATACGACGCGGGAGCTTCAATTCGAATGGTTCGTAATGTATTCCCATCGAGAACCTTGGGATCACTATAGCCGTAAGCTTTTCTCGTACACACGCGTGCACGCGTTGATATTTCCATGTTACATAAAGCTCCGACGATCTCGTAACCCTCGATGAAAAAGGATCGAGAGCCGTCGTGGCAGTTTCCGAACCCGCAGTCATCGTCATTACGATTTTTTAATTAGCGAACGCACGTGAGTCGTTGAGAAATTAGTTATCGTCATTACGATTTTTAATTAGCGAACGCACGTGAGTCGTTGAGAAATCGAGGAACACGTTTACCACACGATTACAAATAAAATCGTAAGTCAGCCACGATTACCTGAAAATCGGTATATTATTATAAACTAAATAGAATACCACATTTAGAACTTGGATGTGTGTATACATATAACGAGCTCATCAATGTTTCAGTTCACCGGTGAACAATTGATACGATTCTTCGATCAAATTTGTGATCGATATCAATGTCGACAAACTGATAAAAATGAACTTTTATTTCAATTAAGTTTATATCTTGAAAAGAATTTCGATAGACGTCGCGATCAATCAATCAAAAATATAATATATATATTATATTATCTTTGCCTTTGTAAATAATATCTCAGGAGCTGTACTAATTTATCATTTGTTCCTTGTTTCTTAATCTGCAAGGTTCCCCGACGATACACACGAATAAAAACTAACCACACAAATACAAAGGAACAGGAGTGAGAGACGGCCAGGTGAGCTAAAATCGAGTCAATTGAGGGAACTTTTTCCCCACAACAACCCTCCTATCGTTGGCCTCCTCTTCTTTGACCAATATCGAAACCGGTTTCGAACGAAGGATCGATTCTCGGCCGCGAAGACGAGCAAGACAGCCGGGGGAATAATTAAATTAAGCCTTGAAGTGTCACCGCAGTGGCTTTACGTAAAGCTGCGTTAAACTGTCCGATAATATCATGGAATTTCGAATTACGCAAATCTTTCTAAGAACATCGTGTGTCCGCCTCTATCTGCACTTGGTCTCATTTCTCTCGTTACTATCGTACACACTTCAGCGATATTATTAACTAAGATCCTCGTGCAACGATATACAGTAAATCCTCGATGAGTGTTCGAAGGTTCCTGAACATTAAGTAGTTCATAAACTAATGGTCATATTCGGCTGAAACATAAATCATTGGCTTCAGAATTCCAAACGCTATCACTTTAGTGCCTAGGAGCCTTCGAACACTCATCGAGGATTTATTGTATTTACGTACGATTCTCCAGATAGGTAACGTCGTTCGTACTGCGAAACAGTTTAATCGAGAAACGCAGTGACGAACATGTTGCACAATCATGCATCGTGAAAGAGGAACGTGAGAAATTGTGCGTCTATACGGTATTTTATTACGCAGATAACTGACAAGCCATCGGACTTCTGTGTTTTTCCTTTTTTTTTTACGTAAGACACGTCGATCCGCCGCGCAGTCTCTGTCTCTTTGTGCGCCTCGACCGATAAATCGTGCGACGGTATCTTAGGCAAAGTCTGGAAAGGAACTCGTCCTCTGTGCTCGTTTCGTTAAAATGCTTGGAATTTCTTGGTCGTCTCGGACATATCCTTCGAGTACACTTTAGATGCCTCCTGCGGCCGATTATCTTGCGATATTATCAATAATCTTCCAGGTTCTTTCGAACCGTCACAGCAACGTGAAACGTTGGGAGCCAATAGTAACCCCCGAGAATTTCGAAGAAGCTACGGTGTAATTTAATATTCCTTGGTCACTTGGACAAGTGTGTATATTATATATATATACATATATTTGTCCAAGTGACCAAGGAATATATACATATATGTGGACCCCAGTGTATTAAGTCCACCTTTTTAAAACAATTACGTCGTTCGGTTTTTCATACAATAGCGTAAAAATGATAGTAAGTCCATATCTTGTTCCGATTCACACAGTGTAAAGTCCATCACATACACGTCTTAATGCAATGTTTACCATTTCTACATATCGAGACTTTTTTTCAGAGATATCAAGATCACCCTTATTTTTTTCTAAACGGAATCACCTTTTTTTAAACAACAAACGATAGTCCCTTTCATTAGGAATTCAGTGACTATAATTATTCAAGTTCACGGAAAACGAGTGGTTCCGTTTAAAAAAATGAAGATGACCTTGATATCTCGAAAAACAGATGACATAAAAACAAATATTTTTTTGGCATCGAGTGAGCCCCATTGAACCATTCAATTTGTTTTTAAGACATTTTACGTATCTTTAAAAACAGCAAAGATATTTAGGCGACTCACCCTGTACAGGGTGCGACAGAGATAAATGTACCTTAATGTCACATACACAATATCTTGTCGTAGATAACTCATATTAAACTCGCTGAAGTTTGATTATTCTGAATTATGATTGCCGCTATGGATTAACGCGAATCAGATAATAGCGTCACCGAAAGCATGTGCGCGCGACTTGTACAAATGATTTGTACAAGTGTTTAAACTGTGGAAACCTGTACGTTCGCAGGGACACTGTTTCCGTGGAAATGGAAAATACGAATTTCCATTCCTTTACACTGATGCGAAGATTCCAAAGCAAGCATTCAGACGTGTTTTTTCTTCGAATTAGTTACAGTTCTCATCTGGTTATGTCACTGTGACGCGAAACTGAACACTGAAAACCTCAAAATGACCCACTTCGTGCACAAGCATAACTACCGCAACATTCGATTTATCGTTGGAACAATGTTCACCGACCATTCTATTTCTAGGACGTTTAGTATCTAATTTTAGAGAAATAAATAATCTTTCTGTATATTCGAGGTTCGAGATTTGATCGTAACGGCGAATAGATTGTTTAGCTTTCGTGGAAATCGTTTGATTTATTGTTTGCAGTATCTAGTCGCGAGCTCTGTGTTTGCAGCCGTCATTCAAGGATCTTGTCTGCACAATTTCCAGAATCTAGACGAACCCCAATGGTAGAGAGGACAAATTTAGATCGATCTGCTTACCTGGTACGTGACACCTTTTATCTCGCGTCTCTTCTTCTCGTCGAAATCGGGCTCCATCTACGAACGAAATCCGTTCAAATTAATATTGCTCGATTATTTTGCTTTTCTTTCGACGACGATAAGCTTTTGCGCAATTCACGCGACGATCGACGAACGACGTTCACTGTTTACAGCGTTGGAAAGCGACAGTTAAAATATAATCGCGATAACCCGGTTTCACGAGGCTTCCTAACAAGTAAGTTCTCTCTTAATAACGCGTGTGTCTTCGACGGGAAACATCCAACAACTAAGATTTCTATTACGTCGACGATTGTGGTATCTTATGGAAAAATTGATGGAAGCCACTTCAAAAACAACGTACGTATATAAGAGTTCATCGTCATCGAAATATTCATCATCATCGTCACTCAGGTTATTAAAATTTTCCATGGAGATATCAATTATTATTATTGCAATAGCGTAATTTCGTTATCGTATTCATTTATAAACAGATTAGGAACATTTGATAAGGGGACAAAAGGCTTGGGTGTTTTTCGACGGAATCATTTCTGATGGGAATATTTCACTGATAACGAGTTACCTTGGTCTCCAAATGGTTCTCCGTATACCCATTCGAGTTGTTCATTCCTTGCACGATACTCATCTTAATCCCTCGATGGAATTCTTTTTTCCAGAAACGCAGCGATAGACTGTCACGTATTCGGATGATTCGAATCGTGAAACGTCAAAGACGCTCTTTATCGCGTCTCTTCGTTTCCTTCCTTTTTTATCACGATAGAAATGCTAGATTCCGTTGATCGTGTAATTCACAGTCTACGACTCGCTTATTCTTCGGTTTCGTCCCCGATAAAGTTAATCTCGCGTCAAGATATACCTACACTAAATCAGTAGGTTTCTTTCCTCTGACTTCTTTCCTGTCAACGACTAATAAATAATCACTTCGTCGATAAAGTATTTTTCTCCGTTTTCAGAGAGCCTCGAGCTCTTCCCATACAAGTATCTCCCACAAACCCATGAAAAACACCCTCGTCCAAAGCATCCGATCAACCTTTCCGCAATTAAAGAAATCGTATCACCGTCTCCCACGAATCTGAAAATAAAAAGACTCGTTACAATCGTCTGTCTCTACGATCCCCTCTCAACTCCACTCGATCTTAAATTATACATAATCTACTCGATCTTTCGCCATGACTCACTTTCTGTATACTCCTTTCGCCAGCTTATATCGCCCAGAGGATAATCAGTCCTCGAAACATCTCTCATCGAGCTACCGAGTCTCTGTAATGATCTCGATCTGTCTGAATCATCGTGCAAACCCCGAAGCAAGCTTCCTTTCAACGTGTCAATCAGGCTCCCTTCACTATCGCCTATCCTTTCAATTTCCCAACACACTTTCCCGTTGAATGTTGCTCCACCGCGAAACCCACTCGCAGTGTCGTCAGCCAAGAACTGTCTAACCCACGTAAACACTACAGTTCTGTATCTTCTTTAGCCCCCCCCCCTCCCCGCAGAATCGTTTCTTTCTGAAATCTGCAGCGAAGAAACACTTCGACCAACTGTCACCCCGTTGAACGTCGACGAGAAAATTAATCTCATTCGTCCTCCCCCCCTTTCCCCCGGCAGGAGACGATAAAAATCGGTCCTCGGTGGTTGTTTGCGGTGCAGTCGACAGAACTGCCACACGGAGACTCGTTACTCACTGAATGCAAGTCCGGTTTTATCTGCCGCGGCCACCACCGCCGCCGCGGGTTTCTTCGTTCCCGATCGTCGTGGAACCATTCACATCCGCGGCCCCGTTCCGATATTCCCGCGACCTGTTCGCGATCCGATGAGAAACAGCGCGTAGGTACACTATACAGTAAATCCTCGATGAGTGTTTGAAGACTCCTCGGCACTATCCATTAAATCCTTGATGAGTGTTCGAAGAGTCCTCGACATTGAACATTAAATCCTCGATGAGTGTTCGAAGACTCCTCGGCGCTGAACATTAAATATTTCATAAACTAATGGCCATATGGGTCTGAAACAAAGATCATTGGCTTTAGAATTCCAGGCTCTATCAGTATGATAAACCTTATTTGAAAGTCAGCGTTGCAACTGGGGAGCTCTCATTGTTAACGTCGAGGAACATACGAACATTCACCATGGATTCACTGTACAGTGATCCTTCGATGAAGGTGACAAGAGCAACTGCGTTATTCCCACCACTGGGGGAGTCCCTCTGAAGGGTTGAAAACGGGTCCGTCTTGCCACGGATGCTCCGAAGTGGACCCGAGTATGTCGCACTTATCGAGAGATTACTGTATATTAACCATGGAGCCACTCGTTCGATCAATTATGGCCTGTAGATCGATAAGGAGACGTGCGACGTGTTACGGACGATTAGGTCGATGATGCTCGCTGCTCTTGAGATCGGCACGGAAAGATCTTGAGGTAGGCTCGATTTTTTTGTCGCCTATAAGTATGTCAATCGTTGGCGAGTATTTATTATCTGTTTAAGTGTCAGGATTTTTTTATTGTCCCTTTGAAGACAACTCGAAAAAATAATCTATCTCCACTCGTCACTGCATTTTAATGATTGCATTGTTTTTCGATTCTTTGCCGTTGTTTGCTCGTTAAATTTAAGTCGATTGTAAATGTTTCAGAACGCTATAGTATTAGAAATGTTTGTATATTGTGTAGGATCGAAACGATGTGTTTGTAGACAGGTGAGAGATGATGATTTTCTGGATGCGGAAGATGCACGTGGACCACGCGACTCCTTCACAACCGGAAGCGATAGTTGCATCAGTGACAGATTATTGTATTTAATCGATACAGGCCTTGAATAGGTGTCATAGCCGGATCTGGTCGTCGTCGGCGTCTTTTCATGGACGAGAGTTCGACGTTCAACACGTGCGAGTTATGTTAAAGCGGATTAAAATGATCGATACATTACTCATCATTTAAATCATTTCTTTTGTTATGCACGGTGAATTATTTCAATGACTTCCCGTATTATTCACACCTTGCAGCTTGTTCTTTAGGGATCACTGATACGTTGATTCAGCGATGTCTATTATTATTGCAAGTACGACGTAGTTTTTATTAATATATTATTTACAAGAATAAAGCAATATGTCACTGAAGTATCGTGGCATTTGTAATGGTGGTTTCTTTACGTATTCTTCTTCGCTCTAGTGAAATAGTAGAATGCAGATGGACGAAAGCAGCTTGACACGCAAACATAAGACCAATTAAAACGAGTTACGGTATGAAACAAATAAACTGAGCCACGGGGTAACTAATTGGACCATTTCCCCCCTGACAATGAGTCGGTTCGAGGCACTTTTTCAAGTCAGTCGCATTCGTTTCCTTTCCATTTCGCCAAAGATTTTACGTAAAACACGAATGGCTCTTAATTAGATATTATATTGGGCGCCTTGTGCGTTATTTTAACATATAGTGTCGTTTAACATAATAAATAAATTCAGTGAAAACATGTGTTTTCCACAACTAGTTTATTCATCTGGCCCAGCCACATGTGAGTACCGTGTGTTTGGATCTTTTAAGACTTAAAATTACATGGTGCGTAATTAGCTAAACCCTATAATCTGTATTGATCGATTTTCCGGAATTCCTCGTCCCCACTCTCCATACAGAACCGCTCAACAGTCGAAAATTTGCACTCAGTTTCTCGCGAACCGTCGTGGTGAGTGGGTGGGTCTGCGTATCTCACTACTTGGTACTAACCCCTTGTATGTTACAGGCATTCGATTTATACTTATTTACTGTGCATATTGTTCATTTATTTACTGTCTATTTACTTGTTTAACGTAATTTGTTAATCTATTCGTCCAACTGAATTTTATTAATTTATTCTATGTGTATTGTATAATTAAAAATATTTTTCCAACCAGTTATTCCAACGAGCGAAAACATCGATCAACGTCTACAATCTATATACATCCTTAATGCATCTACCACTACGTTAAGTTACTGTGAGTTAGACTTAAATCATCATTAGATATTCATTTGTCAAACGTTAATTAGATATTCATTTTTCTAATCATCATTACATATTCATCAAATCTTAATTAATAGATTTAAATTGTAACCGTCCATTGTGCATACCAGGTTATTATTAATTCACTTTGCTCGTTGATTCTCTACACAGACTTAGGGTACGGGCAGTAGTGCGTATACTAATTGTAATACTGTTGGTTTCTACTGAGAAGCCAGATATCGGACGTGTTTAGACTTTGCCTGGGAAATAGGATTTAGAGAAAGATTCGTAGCATGCTTGGTAGAGGGTGCGTTGTATACGTGCTCCGTGCCAGAGAGGTTGTCCCAGGTTCGGGTCTGGTAGATATGGGACCAGCCCACTATGTTCCAAGACGGTGGAGGGTGGATACGGGTTCGCGAGGGGTTGCCTCTCTTCCTCCCCAGGACGATAGTCGCGAGCGAGCATTTAAATTGAATAAACGTATTGTACCGTAGCGCATCATATTGTCATTGAAACTTTCATATCATATTCGGGGTCACACACACGAGATCTCTTGTGCGTGCTGCGGGGGTCCTAGGACCTCCCCGCCTATCAAGATCCTACACAGTTCTTATCTCACACACACGGGGTCTCTCCCACATACTCCGGGTGTTCCATGATCCCACCTTCTCCCACACACGGGGTCTCTTACGTCGGCACCGGGGGTTGTATGACCCCACTTTCTCCCACACACGGGGTCTCTTACGTGGGCTCCGGTGGTTCTTCACATCGTACTTACGATTAAATGTTAATGGCTGCAAACTTTGCATTCATTTCATAACAGCATGTTCTATGTTAGAACGTTCTTAATAGGCGCAGGTAGCTAAGAGGGGAGCATGGGGAACAGATAAAAGTAAGTACTGGATCGGCACAGTCTGTCTGTGCTAAGACAGGAACGGATACACTAGACCACGCGGCGAATCAGTGTGTAGGAATGTGTATACATATATAAGTATTATTTAAAGCAATTGTTAAATCTACACAAATACAACTGCAAATTGTATATTGTTTTACGAGTTTTTCAATAAAAAACAGTGAAATCCTGTAGCGCTGAGTTGCCCATCACAACTGTATCTCGTCATGTGTATCCCCGTTAGTTCACTTTGGAACACTCTTCCAACGTTATGCTGACAGCACGCGTCTTGACCAAGCATTCAGTTTGAAGCTGAAAGAATGTAGATTCATCCCCTGCGATTGAAAATAACAATAAACGACCAGAACACTGTTAAAATCGCATTTAATTTTTGAATAACACTATTTTTCGACCGGTGGCGCCACCCGTGGCAATTCCCTCAAACTGCTAGCCAAATTATATCGACAGGTGAGTGAAAATTTCTAATGATGGAAAAATGCAAATATCTCAGTAATTAAGCACTTAAAATGAACGTCATTAGTCTCAAATTGTTCCTCATAACTTAACGCATGGACCCAATAGTGCAGAACCCCTGAATTAGTAAAATTAGTTATGCCTGTATTACCGTAGCCCCTTATGGGCGACAACCCTAATTGCAAAAGATTTCAATCGTATTTACACCGCTAAACGGGCATGATTCTTCTTCGTTTTGCATTAGATACAACGTTTAAAGAACGTAGATTACTATTCTCTAACGGCTGGAAAC